GAGGGGATAGAACGGTGTATGGGGGACAGTGTCTGACTGTCGGGGGTCCTATGAGAAGCAGAGAGGTGCGGAGTGGGGATAGAACGGTGTATGGGGGACAGTGTCAGACTGTCGGGGGTCCTATGAGAAGCAGAGAGGTGCGGAGCGGGCATAGAACGGTGTATGGGGGACAGTGTCTGACTGTCGGGGGGCCCATGAGAAGCAGAGAGGTGCGGAGCGGGGATAGAACGGTGTATGGGGGACAGTGTCAGACTGTCGGGGGGCCTATGAGAAGCAGAGAGGTGCGGAGCGGGGATAGAACGGTGTATGGGGGACAGTGTCAGACTGTCGGGGGGCCTATGAGAAGCAGAGAGGTGCGGAGCGGGCATAGAACGGTGTATGGGGGACAGTGTCTGACTGTCGGCGGTCCTATGAGAAGCAGAGAGGTGCGGAGCGGGCATAGAATGGTGTATGGGGGACAGTGTCTGACTGTCGGGGGTCCTATGAGAAGCAGAGAGGTGCGGAGCGGGCATAGAATGGTGTATGGGGGACAGTGTCTGACTGTCGGGGGTCCTATGAGAAGCAGAGAGGTGCGGAGCGGGCATAGAATGGTGTATGGGGGACAGTGTCTGACTGTCGGGGGTCCTATGAGAAGCAGAGAGGTGCGGAGCGGGCATAGAACGGTGTATGGGGGACAGTGTCTGACTGTCGGGGGTCCTATGAGAAGCAGAGAGGTGCGGAGCGGGCATAGAATGGCGTATGGAGGACAGTGTCGCTGCGCCCAGGAGGAGTGTCTGGGTGCCCAAGCTGGTGTGGGAAGCTGGACCCAGCAGTGACCAGCCCGCAGGTGACAATCCATCCACTCTCGTACCAATGCCCTGGACTCGGCAACGAAAGCGGAGCTCTGCCCAGAGAAGGATCACAGAACCAGGGGGATCCTGCTGGGTCTGGAGCTCTTGGCCAGGAGCCGAGTAGGCCCCTGTGATCGGGGAGCAAGAGCAGCTTGAGCCTGCGAGCAGCTCCTGGCATGAGAAACCACCCAGGGCTCCCTGCCCAGCACCCCGGGCAATGAAATTCCCAGTTGGACGCTGCTGCCGGGGCCAGGGGGCCCAGCACTGCTGTGCCACCGGGTGTCAGTGCCATCTGCCAGGGGAAGAGAAGGGCTGGCTGGCACCTGGCCTGGCCAGCAAGTGGAGGGGGGTTACTAGGTGAGTTCACAGCCCGGAGGGCCCAGCTCCGAGGGGGGTCTTATGCGCCAGGCCCTGTATGTGCCCAGAGCTCCTCAAGCAGCTGCCTCAGCTGAGCAGTCCTGCAAGGCGGCTCACGGGGGAGGGGAAAGGGCTTGCCTAGGTCTGCCCCACACCGGGGGGCCCTTCTGTGGCTGCCCGCATAGGCTTCCGGCCACCAGGTTGGCCATGTGAGCCGGCACG